TTTGAGGGAGGCGGGGAACGTCACTCCTTATTTAGTTGTGAAGGAGGAGCTCTTGTAGAGTTTGACATGCACGTGTGAGCCAAGCTGCATGTTTGAGCTGAGCTTTGATATGGCAGCAAACATGAAGACCGGCGAACGAGGAGGTAGAATGTGGGAGCTGTAGATATAAAGGAGGAAGTGAAAATATCTATGCCTTTTTTTCCTCGAGTGTGGATTTGATTTTCAACTCCGAATGAGAGATTGGAGTGTGTTTGGACTAAAGGTGTGAAACGCCACACTCTGACATGACAGGAAGACGAAGGGGAAGGTAGATCGTTCTGGAAGCCAAAAGGAATAAGTCACCACCAGAATGTGGCCTGAATATTGCACCGAACGGAGCCTGAATGCTCATCTGCATGCACTCATGTGCTGCGCAGGTCAGTTTCTATTTGTGTTCCTGTGTGCGTGTCGTCACCTAGTCACATGGACGCTGTGATTTGTGTGTCAGCGGATGTGTTGTTTGATGATATATGTTTGTCCACTATTGTTGTGACGCTATATCAGTGTGCGACCCCACGTGGATGAGCGTGAGCATGACGGTGTGAGTTTTTGCACAGTGTAGGGTGTGTGAACCAACACAATGACTCATTTTACTGAGGAACAAGAGAATGTGCCTCTGTGACAGTTACAGACATGTGGATAAAAGGGAATAAGTCATTCTGAGAAATAACTTGACACACATATTTCTTTTGCAATAGTGTGCGTGTGGGTGGGTGGGCATGAATCAGATCCACAATGCAAAAGTGGGTGTGTGAGGTATGTGAAAAGCTGAAAAGGTGTTTGCTGTACTCATTAAGCTATCAACTTCTGTTCAAAAGTCAGACTGAATTCCCACGCTAGTAGAGAACTTATGTTGTTATTCCATTTTTTTTTTCATTTAGGAAGATAACTAACATAACATGTAACTTTTTTTTTTTATCATATATATAATTTTTGCGTGCATATATATTGTGAATTTGAGATTGTTGTGACGCTATATCAGTGTGCGACCCCACGTGGATGAGCGTGAGCATGACGGTGTGAGTTTTTGCACAGTGTAGGGTGTGTGAACCAACACAATGACTCATTTTACTGAGGAACAAGAGAATGTGCCTCTGTGACAGTTACAGACATGTGGATAAAAGGGAATAAGTCATTCTGAGAAATAACTTGACACACATATTTCTTTTGCAATAGTGTGCGTGTGGGTGGGTGGGCATGAATCAGATCCACAATGCAAAAGTGGGTGTGTGAGGTATGTGAAAAGCTGAAAAGGTGTTTGCTGTACTCATTAAGCTATCAACTTCTGTTCAAAAGTCAGACTGAATTCCCACGCTAGTAGAGAACTTATGTTGTTATTCCATTTTTTTTTTCATTTAGGAAGATAACATTAACATAACATGTAACTTTTTTTTTTAATCATATATATAATTTTTGCGTGCATATATATTGTGAATTTGAGAGTGGGATGTTCTGTGTGTGCTGAAGAGGGCCGTCTGCACCACACGGTTGCTTAGTATTGCTTTGTCACCATAGCAACCACATCAACTGTAGCCTCACAGTAAGAGGCCAAAAGAAAGAGGCAGATAAAGCAGGAGTGTAATAACCTCAGAACAGCAGGCTTGTGTGATCAGTTTGTATTCTGTGCTTGGTTGCGTCTCTAGTCTGGCATGTTCAGAATGACAGACAAAACAGAATGACTTACTGACCCGAAGTTCATGTCTCAATTCAAAACTTCCTGCCCATAATTCCTTGTTTGCAGTGTTTTTAGATCATACCAACATCCGCGGCATCAGGTGTCAGTTCAGGACTGTAATATGTCAACTTTGATCCCTACTAATTGTACTGAATTAAATAACATTCAAGATGTTTGTGCATTTCTGGGTAGCCTACATACAGTGTGGTATGATGCAACATCAAGCTGAACATGCTCTTGTCATGGTGTTCTGAGCATGTATTCATGTGTGACTTTGACAGCCTCCTACATGTTATAGTAAGTTGTGGAGTATGTAGGTCAGGTAACAATGGTAATGAACCTATTAACTGGTCTTTTTTTAAACTTTCAGCCTAGTTTAAATTTTTACCAAACCTCTGCTAATGTAGATACTGATGTATTGCTATAACCTGTTTTGCCTGTCAATTTTATTTTTTAATTTGTGGATTTAATATGACTTTCTAAAAGGCTTTATACAAAAAAAAATATCATGGATGTTTTAAAAATGTCTTACCGGGAAAAAATTTGCATGTCATTGTATTTTAAACTGGTGTGTTCTTTCAGTGAAAATAACCACACACACACACACTGCTGTTCAAGTTCAAAAGTTTGGAGTCGGTAAAATATTTAAATACTTTTGAAAGTCTCTTATGCTCACCAAGGCTTATTTATTTAATCAAAAATAAAGTAAAAACTGCATATTATGAAATGTTGTAACAATTTAAAATAACTGTTTTCTATTTTAATATTTTAAAATGTAGATTTATTTTTGTGATGGCAAAGCTGAATTTTCAGCAGCTGTTGATAGTTTTCACGTGACGTCACACGCTTATAGGAACGCCCACCTGGAGGGCAAAACGAAGCTTTACTCCACTGACCGCCAGTTATTATTACGCAGTTTGCATTTAGTAATGTAGTTAAACGCAGATATTAAAAGGCGAAATTCAGTAAACACCTTATTGATTATGTATATTTTGTACAGGCAAGCAGATGAAGCCAGAATATAAACGCAATGTGCAAAGTTTCTCGTTTATGGTTTCCCATAGAAAACCATTAGAAGGAAAACACTGAACCATTAAGCGGATTGCGTTCATATTCCGGCCTCATCTGCTTGCCTATGTAAACTATGCATCATTAATATAGAGAATATTACTGTTTTAAATATATTAAGGCACTTTAAGTGTTTTTACCATGTTTTGTCTCACTGTTTAATGATTGAAATATTGCCGTGGGTGCTTAATATGGATTGCAAATGGCCAAAACGTGCATTTTGTTCACCTACCTTTGTTTTATTCTTTTGAGAGGTGATCTAAATATTTGCGGCTGTGAAACAGATGGAAAATTGACAGGCTTGTCCTGCAGTTCTATGGATGTTTTGCCCTCCAGGTCTTCGAGCTGGTCACGTGACTGAAACCTATGAAGTACTCCAGTCTTCAGTGTCACATAATCATTCAGAAATCATTCTAA